CTCAGAGCAGCTTACAAACTCCTTTCCCTCCCCCTCCCCACAACAGACACACCCTGTGAGGCAGGTGGGGCTGAGAGAGCTCTGACAGAAACGGCTCTTTTTCAAGAACAGCTCTTATCAGAACTACGGCATGCCCAAGATCATCCAGCCAGGTGCAAGTGTAGGAGTGGGGGAATCAAACCCGGTTCTCCCAGATTAGAGTCCGCGCACTTAACCACGACACCAAACTGACAAACGTATCCTGTCCACTCTCTTCACACCATACATCATTTTATAGACCTCTATCAGGTCTCTCCTTACTTGCCTTTTTTCTATGCTACACAACCCTATACAATAGAACAAAGATACCCAGAATAAAACTTTGTTGGTCTTAAAGGTGCCTCTGGACTCAAACTTTGTTTTGTTGCTTCAAGAAGACCAAGACCGCTACCCACCTGAGCCATATACAATACCTTTGTTCAGGTTTGGTGATCAGAACAGCACACAATATTCCATCTGTGGTCTCACCATCGATTTGTGTAAAGGCAATAGGATAGCGGCAGTTTTATTCTCCGTTCCTGTTCTAATTATGGCCCGCACGGAATGCGCCTTTTCCACAGCAGCCGCGCTCATTTTCATCAAGATATCCACGACCACCCCAAGATCCCTTTCTTGGTCTGTTTGCCCCCACATCAGATCCCATCAAGTACAAGGGAAGCTGAGATTTTTTGTGCGTGGATGGAAAGAGGGCATACTGACATTTTAAAAACAGATCTCAGTAGCCTTTCTCAGTAACCATCATCTGCAAACAAAGGCTTAAACTACTTGTGCTCCCTCAGGAACGCCACCTGCTTCTTATTTTGCAAAAGGAAAATGGAACCTTCAGCCCTAAAAAAGCTCTGCTGAACTTTTCCAGAAATCTGCGTACGGCATTGTGAGCCCCCTCCAGCCAATCCCTTGAGCGCATCATTTGCTTCTGCAGGCGGCTGTACCGTTAAAGTAGAGCCCCGAATCCTTCAGACTGGGAGGAGGCTCACTTTCAAATCCACACCCAACCATAACATTCTCTGGACGGCCTTTTCAGTCCCATTTAGCCGGCTTCCCAGGGATCGTATTTCTGCAGCGCAGGTATCACATTACCACAACAATCTTAAAAGCAATCCTGCAAGACCCCAAATTCGAATCTCCCTCTCACCGCTGAAGCTGCCAGATGGCCTCGGACCAGCCAAACTTCCCCCCAGTTTCTGCATATACTGGCCAACCTCGCCAGGCTGTTGACGGGGTTACCACCACAACATATCTTCCGCACTTTATTTAGTGTACATTTTATAAGCAGGCAGACCGACTCCTCCACACATACGAATGCACCGGTATATCCCCCCCCCCCCTTTTTTGTCTCTCCTTTCACACTGTCCCCCAAGCAACGAGATCGGCAATGAATACAAAGTTCTTCAAACACGTGAGACGTGCTGGAAGACCAACAGCCAGGCGCACTGCATGTTTACTCATAAGCAACACTCTCCAAATCCAACTGAAAAGGGCACACGCTTTTCCAAATCCAAGGGGAAAGGGCAAAACTTTCCAAATCCAACTGGAAAGGGCAACTCTGCGGACACCCCAAATCCTTCTACACCACTCCCTTTGTCCCACTGTCTCAGTCCGTTGCAGAGACCGCTGAAGAAAACACATGCGACAAAAGATCTTTCAGCCCCTCCATAAGCACTAAGAATGCTATCATCCGGCACTGAACAGGGGGTTGGACTAGATGTCCTATATGGCCCCTTCCAAGCGATGCCCTAACCACATTCTGTGACTCCAGAGATGGAAAACAGAGAGAGAGAGAGAGAGAGAGAGAGAGAGAGAGAGAGAGAGAGAGAGAGAGAGAGAGAGAGAGATCGAACTGCACACACATAATAATCCCTGGATGCTTTAAAAGGAACAGCATATGCACTGCAGGAAATAAACAGGACCCTGCTAACTCACAGACATCCAAGACAATCTCTGCAAGAGATGACTCGCTGCACCCCCCCCCCCTCTAGTCCCCCTTCACGGGCTGTTGAGAGGCTCCTAAACGAATCAAGTGGAAACAACTTTGAAACTCACCCTACACAAACGTCACAGAGCACACTAAACATCTTCTTTCTTCGGGTTCAGTGGCACCTTTAAGACCAACAAAGCTTTACTCGAGGTGTAAGGTTTCGCGTGCAAGCACACTTCCGTCAGATGCATTGGAATGGAGTAAAGCAATGCAGGAGATGACCACAGAATCACAGAGCTGGAAGGGGCTCTACAGGTCATCTAGTCCAGCCCCCTGCTCAATGCAAGATCAGCCTAGAGCCTCCCTGACCAGGGTTTGTCCAGCCGCTGCTTCAAGACTGACAGGGAGGGATCCACTCACAGCTGCTCTGACAAGGATGGAGCCTACCCATCCAGAGGCACCAGACGTCTATTGCAAAAGAGCTCTATAGGAGAACTAGTGGAAGATGGTCCCAGGAGTGCCTCCCCATCCAGAGGCACTCTACCTCTACACAAAAGAGTTGTCCAATGGGGCTAGTGGAACCGCCTACCACAAGCCTGTCCTAGGAGGACCTAGCTGGAGGAGCTGTTTTTTGTTCAATCCCTATCAGCCTGCAAAGACAGTCAACCTCTAAGCAAAAGAGCTGTATGGTGGGGCGGGGTGACCTGCCTGCCACAAGAGGGCTCTAGGAGAGCCTCCACTTGCAGAGGCAGTCTACCACTGGGCAAAAGAGCTCTACTGCAAGGGCTAGGGGAACTGCCTGCCACAAAACACTACCTATCCAGAGACTATCTACCTTTAATCAAAAGAGCTCTACAGCGGACTGATGAACCTGACTGCCATAAGATGGTCCTGGGAGAGCCTCTCCCTGCAGAGGCAATCTACCTCTAGGCAAAAAAACCCTACAGCAGAGCTGGCGGAACCGCCTGGCACAAGGTGGTTCCAGGAGAGCTTCCCGGTGCAGAGGCAGTCTACCTCTAGGCAAAAGACCTGTACGGCGGGCTGGTGAACCTCTCTGCCACAAGACGGTTCCAGAAGAGCCTCCCCATGCAGAGGCAGTCTACCTCTAAACGAAAGAGATCTATAGCCGGGTTGGTGGAACTGCCTGCCACAAGACGATCTCGGTCCAGAGGCACTCTACCTCTAGGCAAAAAGAACTCTACAACAAGGCTGGTGGAACTGCCTGCCAGAAGGCAGTCCCAGGAGAGCCTCCCAATGCAGAAACAGTCTAGCTGTAGGTGAAAGAGCTGTACAGCAGGGCTGGTGTACCTCCTTGTCACAAGATGGTCCTGGGAGAGCCTCCCCTCGCAGAGGCAGAAACAAGCAAAAGAGCTCTGTAGCAAGGCCACTGGACCTGCCTGTCACAAGACGTTCCCCAGAGAGCCTCCCCCTTGCAGAGGCAGTCTACCTCTGGGCAAAAAACCTCTCCAGCAAGGTGGGTGGGCCTGCCTGCCAGACAACGGTCCCAGGAGAGCCTCCTCTCACAAAAAGCAGTTAACCTCTAGGTAAGAGAACTCTGTAGCGGGGTTAGTGTAGCTGCCGCAGGAGAGTGTAGCTGCTGCTGGTCGCAGGAGAGTCTTCCTGTGCAGAGGCAGTCTACCTCCAGGCAAAAGAGCTCTGTAGTGGAGTTGCCTGCCAGAAGGCGGCTGCGGGAAAGCCTCCTCATGCAGAGGCAGTCTACCGCTAGGCAAAAAAGCTGTGTAGCGGAGTTGGCGGAGCTGCCTGCCACATGGAATCCCCAGGAGAGCCTCCCCTGGCTGAGGCAGTCTACTAAAGAGCTCTGTAGTGGAATCCCCAGGAGAGCCTCCCCTGGCCGAGGCAGTCTACCTCTGGGCAAAAGAGCTCTGTAGCAGAGCTGCCTGCCACAAGGAATCCCCAGGAGAGCCTCCCCTGGCCGAGGCAGTCCACCTCTGGGCCAGAGAGCTCTCCAGCGCAGTGGGCGGGCCTGCCTGCCACAAGACGATCCCCAGGAGAGCCTCCCCTGGCCGAGGCAGTCTACCTCTGGGCAAAAGAGCTCTGTAACGGAGCTGCCTGCCACAAAGGAATCCCCAGGAGAGCCTATCCTGGCCGAGGCAGTCTACTAAAGAGCTCTGTAGTGGAATCCCCAGGAGAGCCTCCCCTGGCTGAGGCAGCCTACCTCTGGGCCAGAGAGCTCTCCAGTGTGGTGGGTGGGCCTGCCTGTCACAAGGCGGTCCCCAGGAGAGCCTCCCCTACCAGAGGCAGTCTACCTCCTGGCAAAAGAGCTCTGTAGCGGAGCTCCCTGCCACAAGGCGGTCCCCAGGAGAGCCTCCCCTACCAGAGGCAGTCTACCTCCTGGCAAAAGAGCTCTGTAGCGGAGCTCCCTGCCACAAGGCGGTCCCCAGGAGAGCCTCCCCTACCAGAGGCAGTCTACCTCCTGGCAAAAGAGCTCTGTAGCGGAGCTCCCTGCCACAAGGCGGTCCCCAGGAGAGCCTCCCCTACCAGAGGCAGTCTACCTCCTGGCAAAAGAGCTCTGTAGCGGAGCTCCCTGCCACAAGGCGGTCCCCAGGAGAGCCTCCCCTACCAGAGGCAGTCTACCTCCTGGCAAAAGAGCTCTGTAGCGGAGCTCCCTGCCACAAGGCGGTCCCCAGGAGAGCCTCCCCTACCAGAGGCAGTCTACCTCCTGGCAAAAGAGCTCTGTAGCGGAGCTCCCTGCCACAAGGCGGTCCCCAGGAGAGCCTCCCCTACCAGAGGCAGTCTACCTCCTGGCAAAAGAGCTCTGTAGCGGAGCTCCCTGCCACAAGGCGGTCCCCAGGAGAGCCTCCCCTACCAGAGGCAGTCTACCTCCTGCCAAAAGAGCTCTGTAGCGGAGCTGGCTGCCACAAAGGAATCCCCAGGAGAGCCTCCCCGGGCCGAGGCAGTCTACCCCCGGGCAAAAGAGCTCTACTCCAGCGCGGTGGGCGGGCCAGGAGCGCCTCCCGTCGCGGGCGCAGTCTACCCGCGGGCCCAAAGAGGCGGGCGGCGGGGGCCGAGTGGCGGGGCTCACCTCTGCGCATGGCCTTCATCCAGAGGTGGACGATGGCGCCGTGGTGCCGCTTGTTCTCCAGGCACCAGGAGGAGAGGCCCTGGATGGACTCCATGGTGTTGGTCAGGGCCTGCAGCTTCCTCTCCAGCGTCGCCTCCAGCAGGGCCGGCGCCGTCCCCACCGCCGCCGCCGCCGAGGAGGAGGACGACGAAGACGACGACGAGGACGAGGCCTTCCCTCCCCCACCGCCGCTGCCTCCGCCGCCGGCCGCCATCTTCCCTCCCCTTCGGTCGCAAGTTCCTCATTCGGAACTCCATTTTCAGTATGCAATACAATTTAAATCTGTGAACTTATTTGTTCTTCCACCTATACCGAGGGGGAGGGAGGGAGCGGGGGGGGCGCAGGCGCAGACGCCGGCCAGCCCGCTCGCGCTCGCGCCGGGACACGCCCCCCTCCTCCTCCGCCTCCCCGCGCGCCTCCACAGCGCAGGCGCAGGGGGACCGGGACGCAGGCGCACACGGGCACTACCTCCTAAAGATATATAGGGGGTAGTGACACGGGGCGGCGGCTTCAGAGCCGGCGGGGGGTTTCGCCGCCCGGGGGCGTTCCTGACAAGCCCGTCGCGAGCGTGGCTGGGATCGGTGCTGGGCCCCGGGAGGCTTCTCTTTGCAACCCTCGTGCAAGTTCGCCTCTGCCGCGCCTCCACCTGGTTGCAAAGGAGCCTTTTATCGGGTTTTGTTTTGTTTCGGGAAGGGAGGAGGGGACTTATTCGCCAGAGGCCGCGCTTGGAGGAGCAGCAGCAGTTCCCAACGCTGCTCGAGATGTTACTGGGCTCGTGGCAGCCGCTGCTCCCCGGAGACTGGCTGCAGGTCCTCCGCTAGGGACGCTCGAGGTCAAGAAGGCGTTGCTGCTGTGCGTGGACAGCGCTCCTCCCCGCCCCCTTCCTTTCCAGGCAAGCACTGCAATGCAATGCCCTGGCACCCAATCCCCTCGGGGGACAGGACACTTTCTCTCCGCCCTTGTGAAGCCCCCCCCGCGACCCTGCAATGGACCCTTCCAGAGCGTTTCGGCCCGCCCCCTCGGGAGAGCGCGGTCGCCCACAGCAACGCCCCTCCTTTCAGATCAAAGGGCAGGGCGACCGATCAAACGCTGGCACTCCTCGCCTTGCTATTGGCCCGGGCCTGCGCGCGCTCTCGCAAGGCTACCAATCGGAAGGTCGCAGGACCGCGAGGTTCCGCCCCGCCCTCCACGCTCCCTTCCAATCAGAAGACAGCTGAGGAGCAGCGCGGCCAATGGCAACAGAAGAGGTGGCATGGAGACAAGAGGGGAAGGTGACGCACAGCCACTTCTCTCGCGCCCCTTTCACGCGCCTGCCGCTGCCTCGACCCTGAGTTTAAGGGGCAGGTTAACCGGCAGCCTTGCCCTCCCGCTCAACGGTTTCCGGTCTCCTTCCTCCCATCAACTGCTCGAAAATTGCGACTGGTTTGACAACCCGCCAGCCGCCATTTTCGCTTGCCCTGCCTCACGTAGCACAAAATAGTCAGAGCGCATGCTTGGGGGGGGGGGGAAACGGGCCTGAGGTAACCGGCGCATGCGCACAAAAGAAGAGGACGGTCTGACGCGCGCGGTTTTAGCGGCTTCTGTTGGTCGAGGGAAAACGAACCCGAACGGCTTTCTGCGCAAGCGCTAAAATGACAACTAGCTGTGCGCATGCGCGGTATTTGTTCGCGGCCAAGGGGGATTCACTGTTGGCACAGGTGTTTTCCCAGAATCCCTTGCGCTCCCTTTGGCTAAGCTGGCTGCTCCCAGCATGCAGTGGGCGCCTCAGTGCCATTTTTCTATCTTTCCCATAACAAGAACTGGAGCGCCAGGCCCTCCATCCATGGCAGCATCCTCCAGACCTCAGAGTTTGGTTTTTACACCAAGTGTTTGATATGGTGACAGTAAAAGGGGAGAAGGTTCTTGGGAAAAGCTTGGGGGGGGGGGGGAGAAGAGCAGTCCTCTTGCTGTCTTTGGTACTGGCCCGGCAATCCCAAAGCAGTAAAAGTTTTCTTAGCGAGATTCAGTTCAGCAACATTAAGACTGCAACCCGGTTTGCAGGAGCATAGCAAGGCTGTTAAATGAACAGGACATTTTAGAGGTCATTCGGCCGTTGGCAAGTCACAGCCAGCTTATGGCAACCATATTGGGTTAAAAATCCAAAAACTTAAAATCATAACAAGATGGTACTTAACACCTCAAACTATCTCACATATGTCATCTACATATTCACCAAAATGTTGGAAAGGCTGTGGTGTACTGGGATCATTTGCACATTGCTGGTGGCAATGTACAAAAATAAATCCTTTTGGATAGAAGTAATAAATAAAATAAAACAGATCTTAGATATTGACCTAACACTCGATCCTAAAAGTCTATTATTAGAGTTATGGCCGAATCAGATCAAGCAACATCACAATAAAAATACGCTAGAAACAATGCTGTACACTGCAAGAGTCTCTATAGCTTCAATGTGGAAAGACAAGAATACCCCTGACATCCACACCTGGTTCAGAAAGTTATGGGACCAATATGTCCTCGAGAGTATAACTGATAAAACTGGTACTTACATGAAAAATAACTCATCCAAGACGTTCAGTGCAAAGTGGTTTCCAATTCTGTCTTATCTATCGGAGGAAGAATACATACCTCCATCTTGGAAAGAATACTTGAAATGGTTCTGAAAACCCATATCATAAAACATTGCTCAGTCGCAACTGGATCAGGGTTTTCAGGTAGCAAGGTCATTTAAAACTTTTAAAGTAGAACATCAAAAAAGAATCTCTACATAATCACTTGTAACAGTTGCTCTTGATTGTATAGTATTCTAAAGCTATATACTTGTATTAATGTCTTTAAATGTACAATGTTTCAATTATTCTCTACCATTACTTACAAATTACTTACTCTGAAATATTTATTACAGAAATTGTTGTATATGTTAATATTCTGAATATATAATAAAAAAAATTAAATTAAAAAAAAAAGCCAAGAGACAAACACATGAACCTGCCTTATATTGCATCAGACCCCTGGTCCATCAAAGTCAGTATTGTCTACTCAGACTTGCAGCCGCTCCCCAGGTCCCAAGCAGAGGACTTCCACAGCACCTCCTGCCTGGTCCTTTTAACTGGAGATGTCGGGGATTGAACCTGGGACTTTTTGCATGGCGAGCAGAGGCTCTGCCACTGAGCCACAGCCCCTCCCAACACTGGTGTTCTTCTAGTACCTGCCTCTGCATAGCAACCCTGGACATCCTTGATGGTGTAGTGGTTAGGGGGTGAGCAAGCACGGGGACAAGTCCATGTTGTTTTACCTAGACGTCCAGAAAGATTTTGATAAAGTTCCTCATCAATGGCTCCTAAGTCAACTCAGCAGACTTGTGGGTTAAAAACTGGCTAACAGGCAACAGAGAGTGAGTATAAATGGGCAGTTCTCACAGTGGAAGGTGGTAAGCAATGGGGTACAACGGGGTTCACTACCAGGCCTGGTGCTTTTTAACTTGTTCATTAATGATTTGGAGTTGGGAGTAAGAAGAAGAGAAGAGATTGGATTCATACCCCGCCCTTCACTACCCAGAGGAGTCTCAGAGCGGCTCACAAACTCCTTTCCCTTCCCCTCCCCACAACAGACACCCTGTGAGGTCGGTGGGGCTGAGAGCTCTGACAGAAACTGCTCTTTTTCAAGAACAGCTCTTATCAGAACTACGGCTTGCCCAAGGACATCTAGCCAGGTGCAAGTGGAGGAGTGGGGAAACAAATCCGGTTCACCCAGATTAGAGTCCACACACTTAACCACTACATACAAGAAAGGAAGGAAGAAAAGAAAGGATTGGATTTATACTCTGCCCTTCACTACCCAAAGGAGTCTCAGAGCGGCTTACAAACTCCTTTCCCTTCCCCCTCCCCACAACAGACTCCCTGTGAGGAAGAAAAGGAAGAAGAGGAAGAAGAGATTGGATTTATCCCCCGCCCTTCACTACCCAAAGGAGTCTCAAGGGGCTTCCAATCTCCTTTCCCTTCCCCTCCCCACAACAGACACCCTGGGAGGAAGAAGAGGAAGAAGAGGAGATTGGATTCATACCCCGCCCTTCACTACCCAGAGGAGTCTCAGAGCAGCTCACAAACTCCTTTCCCTTCCCCTCCCCACAACAGACACCCTGTGAGGTCGGTGGGGCTGAGAGCTCTGACAGAAACTGCTCTTTTTCAAGAACAGCTCTTATCAGAACTACGGCTTGCCCAAGGACATCTAGCCAGGTGCAAGTGGAGGAGTGGGGAATCAAATCCGGTTCTCCCAGATTAGAGTCCACACACTTAACCACTACATACAAGAAAGGAAGGAAGGAAGAAAAGAAAGAAAGGATTGGATTTATACTCTGCCCTTCACTACCCAAAGGAGTCTCAGAGCGGCTTACAAACTCCTTTCCCTTCCCCTCCCCACAACAGACACCCTGTGAGGTCGGTGGGGCTGAGAGCTCTGACAGAAACTGCTCTTTTTCAAGAACAGCTCTTATCAGAACTACGGCTTGCCCAAGGACATCTAGCCAGGTGCAAGTGGAGGAGTGGGGAATCAAACCCAGGTCTCCCAGATTAGAGTCCGCGCACTTCACCACGACACCAAGCAGTGAAGTGGCTAAGTTTGCCATTGGCACTTTGTTCAGGGCAGTGAGAACCACGAAGGACTGTGAGGCGCTCCAAAGGGGTCTGTCAAGACTAGGTGAGTGGGCATCCACATGGCAAATGAGGTTCAACACAGGCAAGTGCACAAGGTATAGATGCAACACTGTGGGGCAGTGATGCTCTGTCTTCTTGGTGCTTGGGGGAGCCAAACTGGGAGGGCTTCTGGGGTTCTGTCCCTGCTGAGGGACCTCCTGATGGCCCCCGGTATTTTTGGCCACTGTGTGTCACAGAGTGTTCAACTGGATGAGCCATTGGCCCGCTCCAACATGGCTTCTCTTTCACTAGTTCCCAGAGTGGGCAATACCGCCCCCTGGGGGGCGCTGGAACAATCCAGGTGGGCTGGAATGATCCAGGTGCAGATCCATAAACTCCATCTTTTTGTCCACTTCTTGCAGGTAGATGTCCAGGGGATGCAGAGTAATTTTTTTTCTGAAAAGGGGGCGGTAGGCCAAATAAGTTTGGGAACCTCTGTCATGTTCTTATGTCTGGGGCAGTGATGCTCTGTCTTCTTGGTGCTTGGGGGGGGGGGGGACAGTGGGAGGGCCCCTGGGGTTCT